TGGCAAGAAATCCAGCCGCAGGGCACGCCTTTCTTGGTTATTATTTTTAAGCACTTAAATGATAAGAATAAATACAAATGCAGGGGACAGCGGGATAGTTTCTGCTGAGGAGTCGTGTAGTATTTATTAGCGTCTTGAGTTCGCTCTTCCGCAACGCCTAGAACCCAAATTCAAGCTGATAATAGCCTCTAAAGGGGTGGGTCGTGGGTCCATTACCATAACTATATTTTGAGAAAATGTGTCGGCAGCTTCATAAATATTTAATAAATTGAGTGGCGAGAAAGTCGGCTATAGGGGATACTTTTATGGTTATTATTTTTAAGCACCTGACCGATTAGAATTAATAAAAAGGGTGGGTCAGTTTTCGCTCTTAAGGATATGTTTTTAATGGAGTCTTAAGCTATTTTTTTCTATTCTCTCAGCACCTTTAACGTCTGGCCAACATGAAAAAAGTCCATTAAGTGCATTAAAAACTATCTGTCGAGCACTCCTTTAAAAAAGCACGTTCTCAGCTCAAATCTCCCTGCCGCCTGACTCTACTGGATTCTGGATTCCATTCCCTATAATTTTGCTCACTTAAAAAGCCATTGCGGTTTCACACATGTGGATTGGTTGCATAATGCATCTTTCTGGTGTTTTCACGGCCCCGAAAATACAAACTACTGCCCTTCTGATGGACGGTGTACAAATTATAGGGGCCCGCATTGGGAGCAGGCGCTCACACTTCCGATTGAATTAAGCGAGGCTTAGGACAGAGCCACAGCCAGAACCAGAGCCACAGCTCTTCGGCGTGGCTTAAAGATAGGGCGGATCAGGCGATAGGGACCTGTAATTGGGACCTTCTGGATAAGAGGGCTGATTATGCCAGCATTTGCATGCAAATGGTTTGGCAGGTTGTAAATACTCATAATACCACACGGGATGGGACACGATGCACTCTCTCCACTCCCGATTCCATTCCACTCATAATTGTATCATCTGGCAGCTGTTTCGGGAGCACTCAAGCCGCTCTGGAGAGGAGCTATCGCCAATTGGCATTGGCGATCCGAGCCGAGCCGAGCCGAGCCGAGATGAGCCCCGTCTAGACTAATTCTCTGCTCGTAAAAGAACTTTAATTGCAAAAAGGAGAAAAACATACATATTTTTATTGTTCATGTTAAGCGAATTGTTCTGGGGTCAGTTCCCGGATTGGATTGCTTCTGGCCTTATAATTAAGTAACCATTTGGAGCATAAATATGTGCATATATGCTATACATATGTATGTATAATCCCGACTTCGGGCGTCCATAAAGTCCGCGGCGCGCGGAGTCCGACGAGGAGTATTAAAAGTAATGCCAACATATTAACTGGAAATCTCGTAAATTATACACCCAAATGACCTGTCAAAGCTGCCAAGGGCTGCCAAGAGCTGCCAAGAGCTGCTCACGAGCACATTTCTCAAATATGAGTGTGAGTATGGGAAATAATAAAAAAACAAATAATGAAAACTACGCTCTGCGAGTGGTGGAAGCCGTTTGAAACTGAAATCGAAAACAAAATCGGGCAAAATGTATGGAACAACAATATATACATATGTAGTACCAAAAATACATTTTACAACTTTTTTTTACGAGCGCACCAAAGTTTTAGTTTTTTTGTTTTTGTTTTTGTTCCTTGGGGTTTTCGCGCGAAATGCGAGAATCGCGAATCGTCGGCCCTGCTAGTAAATGTTCTATACAGCCAGACACGGGTCCCGGGATATGGCCAAGAGCGCTGCCCGTCTTAAGAGCCCGAAATAAACGCAGGCGCATTAAATTAATTAACTTAAGTCGAGCTCTATCGATTGCCGGCCAAGACTTGCGACCCTTGACTTACCGAACACTCTCTTCCGAAGCCGATGCCGAAGCCGACTCCGATCGAAGTTTAAGTTTTTTCGGGATAATTATTAAAACGGAGCAAGAGTGTTCTAAGTTATGGATCAAAGATGGAAGCATGATAGCTATACTTAATATTACTCTCATCAAAATAAATGAACAAATTATACCCTACACCGACTGCACTATAGACAACTTTTAGAGATCTGCCAGAACAATAACCTCACGTCTGGAGGCATGATGACTAATGCTGGAGCTGGCAGCGCCAGTGTGGGCAGAAGGCTGCAGAAGGCTGAGCTAATGAGCCGTCGGACTTGTTCACTTGTGACTGAGAAAGAAGGCTACAAAGTTGCCAGCATGGAAAACTCGATTTGGGTTCCAGTTTGGGGCCCAAGACGGGTTAGTCAACTCCGTGCAGACGATGGAGATTACGAATAAGTTTACACGTTTCCAGACATCGAGGCCGCAACCTAACACAGACGGAAGATAGGCGCTGCCGAATCCAGCTACTGAATACTGTATACTGTCCGTGGCGTTGCTTGTGGAGGCGGTGCTGGAGCAGCAGGGAGGAGGAGATCGTCCCAAGCGGCCAGAGGAGTAGTGGTGTCCAATTGATTGACGAACTGCCCGCAGTTGACAGACACTCGCATTGTCTCTGCACTCATGCTAAACGATCTCCGTAACGTCGGATCGTCGGATCGTCGGATCGTCGGATCGTATCCCATGTCTGGCTGCCATAGCCACAGGATGGATAATATGCATTAAGAAATCATCGGTGACTGGAAAGTGCAACTGTGAAAATCTTTCATGCCTGCTTAGCTCTTTGATGAATGGTTATGTTGGATTGCCTTGACAGGTCTTCTTGTCATTGTCCAAAGATTATGCTGCTTTATGCTGCATTTGTATGCGATGTTGCTCGTGCTCAAGTGCAATTAGGGAGGGGAGCTTCGAACGTGGTCAGCCGACCGATGCATGAATGGGCTTGGACTTGGACTTGGACTTGGACTCTCGTGAGTCGCGACTTATTCGATGAATATAGGAAGACTTTCATGGACACAGCCGTGATTAGAATGCTACTAGTAATTCTCATATTAAGAAATGAGAAATGCATTCCTTAAATTCTAGAAAAATATCAACCCAATTGCATCCGCATCGATATACAAAACACAAAGGAGGCAGAGTGCCGTATCCAGGAGATCCTCCCTAAGCTTGAGGCTAGTTCTCCGATCAAAGCGATCCGATCAGAGGGGGACAGAGGTGTATGCGCGAATAGTCTAATCGGAGTATAAATGCGTGTAAGGACTGTGACCGGCAGCGTCGCCCTCAGGTGACAACTGTTGACAGCTCGCTGGATCTATGTTAATTGATTTCTTCACGGCCCGTCACCGACTTCGCTCCAACTGTCATTGTAAGCAATTTGTGACATGTGCCGCAGTGCCGTCTTGTCTTGCCTCGCCTTGTGCCTCGCCTTGTGCCTCGTTTTGCTTTCCTTGGCGTTCCTTTGATTGTATACCGTACAATCGTTGAGATCAGAAGTCTATCCTTGTTTCCTTAATCCTATTGCAGGTGCATTCCATCAACGAAAGATCAACAAATTTATTATCATTTGAAACTCATTAAATCCCGGGAAAGATACACCCTATTCATGGCCATGGTTGGGTTCTTTTGGGTACCGGGTATCCTATAGTCGGAACACCCTAGAAGGGCCTTCTTGCTTGTTTCTTCGTTTGTTTTGGTCAAGTCTGGGCTCGTCCTCGTCGCCGTCGAGCCTCTTCAACGGCACAGCAGAACAACAACAACTTGATTAGGCCTTCTGTCGGAGGCGTCTCTGCCCCAAATGCGTACGTGCCGCAACGATGTTGGTGGATCTGGTGGATCTCGATGCCTTCCCAGCGGCGGCGGCATATTGTGGCCTATAATTAGGTGGGAATCATTTAGAGGCGAGACATACCACGACTCCCAGACTGGCTGCCTCCGCCGTACTCTGTACATAGACAAGTCGGAATGAAAAAGCTATGCAATTTCATCTCAGAGTTTTTCATTTTCAATTTTCCTTCTGCACTTTATTAAATGGGCCATAAATATGTTTTGATACTAGTTGCCAAGATCACAAATTGAGCGAGTTGCAAGATTGATGATTGATTTGTCTGAGTTTGCTCAAAAGTGAGCACATACGTGGGTACGGGGGTACGTGGGTACGTGGGTACGTGAGTACTACAAGTTAGTTCAGAAAGAAATGAATCAAATGGGAAACTAAAAGAGATATCTAACGAGTCAGCTGGATTTTTAAACGGCTCTTAGTTCAGCATTAAAATGGTTTCAGGATATATAGCCCACAATGGTATAGTAGAAAAATGGCTATCCCTAATATTGACGGTGCAAAGAAGCGGTGAACAGAATATTTCTATAAAATATAAAACGAAATAAGATTGTAAACATTTTGTGAGTCATGTAATTTGATAATTCTTTAGTTTTCGAGTACCGGCTCTAACTTGCAGAGAAGATTAATAGCACCACAATCTAGCCATAACACACCGTTTTCGATAGAGGTCCAAGCGAATACAGAAAAAGTTAGACTCTACGGAACACGACTGTATTTGTTAGAGATTAGCAGTAACAACACACTTATACAGAATCAGAAGAAGCTAGCACACAGCCTTTATTTTGCATACTTTTACGAGTATTTTCCATATTTCCATACAATTTCATTTCATTTTAAAAAAACATCCACAACAGAAGCGCAAAGTTTGTCAATGTTCGCGGTTCATTTTCAAAATAAACCTTATCTTTTCGAACAATAAAGCAAACATTTTATTTGCCGGCGGATGAAAGACTCCTAGTTGTAACCTTACTACTTACAGGCAGGATTTTAGGGTACTGAGCCAAAGGATCTACCATGTCTTAATTTAAATTAGCCTTAAAAGAATACACAAATAAATAGGATAGCCGCTTGTTAAATCATATATGCATTTGTGCACTCTGTTAAAATGGATCTCATTGGGGCAGGCATGCAACGAAGACTTTTCTTTTAGAAAAGGTCAAGTCACTTCAGTAATCTTAAAACTGGATTCTGATATATTGTAAGTTTTTGATTCAATCCCTGATATATGTACATATATAGTTTACGAAGATAGCTTTGCACTTACCCAACGGTACATTGGCGCCATTCTTGCGATTAACGGAGACTGAGATCGGCAAAATGGCGGCGCCGGATGTGGACGATGGCGAGGGAGATGATGAATCACAGGAGCCCTCCAGCGATTGGGCTGGTGTGGGGACCGTGGACATGTGCGGATCGGCACTAGTAATGACACTGACCCCGCCACTGCCGGCCCGTCCACCAACGCCGCTGCCGCTTCCACTTCCGTTTCCACCAACACCTGCGCCACTGCTTGAAGCGCTGCTTGATGTGGCAACGGCGCCACTGCTCGAGCTGGCTCCGCCTCCTGAACTGCTGGTAGCTGGTCCAATGCTTCCGGCGTGCTCGTTGGGTGGAGGAGATCGGAGCGCCGTGTGCTGTGGCTGGTGCTGTGGATGCTGGTGGTGTGGATGATGCTGGTGCTGGTGGCTCTGGTGGTGCTGCTGCTGATGAGCCACTGTGGCGGCCGCGGCAGCCGCCATGTGTACTTGGTGCACATGAGCGTGACCATGCAAGCTGGCGGCGGTGGCTGGCCCTGTGGCTCCTGCCCCATTGTGGCCCCCACTCAGGTGGGACTGCGGCGGCTGCGAAGGAGCAGCCGCGCCTGAAGCCACTATCTGCTGGTGCTGGTGCAGCACATGGCCATGGTGCGAGTGCGAGTGGTGGCCATGGCTGTGGTGCGGATGGACGTGATGAGTGTGAACGTGGGCGGTGGCAGCGACGTGGTGGTGGTGGCCCAGCAGGGCAGTAGTTGACGTCGACGGAGGCGGCACCTCGTGCATGTGCAGGGCGCGCTGCTCGTCCTGCGCTTGGGCTCGGCGCAGGGCCGTCTGGAGGGCCATCACCCGCTGGCGGTCCGCCGTCAGCCGGCACTTCTCGCACGTGCAGTAGCGGTACTTGCAGTAGCGCTTGTGGCCCTTCAGGGTAATCTTCAGGCCGTGGTTTCGACAGCGGGCACAGTTGGGCGGTGTGCGCGGGGAGATTGAACTCCCGCTGGAGCTGGAGGCCCCGCCGCACACGTCGTTCTTCGAGTCGATCATATCCGAGTCAGACATGGTGTCGCTGTTCCAGTTCTCCTCCGAAACCATCCCAGAATATTCAAATGTCCTTGATCTTGGCAATTCCAGTTGGGACTGTAGCTGTAGCCGTAGCCGTAGCCGTAGCTGTGTTTCTGACAGTTTTCTACCCCGACTAGTTGTAGGAGCTTCTTATGGGAAGCATTTTTCGGATTGCAAGAGGGGAAAGTAGTTTTACTCGCACGTCGAGAGCTTTCAGCACAATTTATTAGAATATTATTGATTATTAGTGCGGTTATACATGTGTACGTCGAAATTATTCAGCTATAGCTCAAGGACTTGTCAAATTTATTCGATTAATGTATGTTTTAAGTATTTATTTAATATATTGGTATATATTGTTTATGGTTATTTTTCACTTGGTTATTAATCCCTTATTTGTAGACTCTTGATTGAATAGATTGTTAAGCACCTGAAAAGACAAGTGACGTATTTGCTGGTTATTATACAGAACAATTTCTAGAAAATAGTATTAAGATATTTGAATAACTAAACAATTTCCTGGCTAACATTTGGCTATATTTTCAATAATTGTACCCGGACGCGATGATGTAATGTATCGGTATGGAATCGGCTCTCCCTCCTATCGCCAGAGACGCAGATACTCGTACTTGCAGTATCAAAAGAGCTAGAAATATTTGTTAGGGTTGTGTTTTGTGTGTTGTGTTTCTATTATTTTTGCATGCATGGATTGTGCTGGCAAACAAATTGCATTTCTGTTTATCGCACGAGCTAATTTATCTCATAGCTTGCAAGCACCGCGGTCCGAAATAAATTTCATGCGAGCTGGAGCTGCAGGTGAAGCTCTGTTTCTATTGGCCGCCGGCTCTTGCATGTTTGCCCATCAATTGAAGGTAAAATCATCCAAAATTATTTCGATTCGATCGGTTACGCCCCCCTTACATAGGTTGACTCAGTTCAGATTTGTTTCAGATATAAGTAACGCCTAGTGGGTGGAGCTGAACTTGCAGATACATTGTATCGATACGAGCGAGGGATCTGTCGCGGCAATATACTCATATACAACTATCAAAGTCTATATATGTATGAAGACGGGCTCTGGCAGATGCGCAAAAATCTGTACAGGGAGAGTGTGCTTAAATGATTGCCTCTACTCTTGACATTTTGAACTTTTCCAGCAATAAATGTTTGTTTTTTTTGGTACGAATTGTAAAGTTTTGGTGAAAATGCCAAAGATCAGCCTAGGCAATCCAGTTAATTAGTAGTCGTTAAATGTATTTTACTGTTCTCTGTATTTTTCCATATCTGTTTATAAAATTGGGGAAAGATTAAATGATTTTGTTTTCTTTTTGTTTTTTAATTAGGAAATGCAACGCAAAAAAATGTTAAAATACTTCAAGCAAATTCAAGGCTAGATAAAATAATATTTCCTTTCTTGCAGCTATTTATTTTGCAGGTGAAACGCCTCGGCTTCCGAGGCGTATGCGCAATAACGGCTCGTAGTTCTTGCAAGTAATTCATTTTATATTATGAAGAATAATTGAAGGGATAATCTGTGGGAAAAGCGATGCACCGGTACGCCTGTATATGCTGAGTAAACACTGAGTAATTCACAATTTTTGTATTTTTTTTTTTTTACAAATTTACAAATCTTTATATGGAATTTGCAATTGTCAAACAACAATAAATTCAGTTATTACCTTTTTAGCAGAAAACTTTGTTATATTTAAATATTTGTGCATTATTATACGAATTGTTGAATTATTTGTAATAATAATTAAGCTTGTATTTTTAGGTAACGGTATTTATGTAGAAGGTCTTTTGTTTTATTGTTATGTATGTAGCTATTAGTTTTTGTAAATTTTATAAATACTTTCAAAGATTTTAGTTTATAAATCGTTGATTTTGCTTTATTTTGCTGAACTCCTCATGGCTTATTCCAATCAATTTACTCCAATTATATTGTTAATTCTTGCTATATATGTAGCTTCTGAGATATCGGTTTGTAATTGTCACACAACAAACAAAAAATCACTCGAGCATTTTCACGCGATCGCACTTGAATTGCAAATGCCGCCGGCAAACGCGAGCAACCTGTCCACTGAACCACCAAACACCGTCTAATTAGGCTCTTAATTTTAATTGAGCTTCACAATGCAAAAAAATTAATATTTATAGAGTCGCTAAGATCTGGTATCGATATGGATAACTCCTGAAATCGCTGCGCGTGTCGCGAGCCGAGCTTCTGCTGCTGCTGCTTTCCGATCTGAAATCTTTGGCATGCACAAGGCAACTCGCATTGGGGCGCAAGACGCGGATGCAAAGAACTCAAAAACGACGAGCAGCGCGGCTGCCCTGGTGTTGGTACCCGTGCATGTGATGTGCCAATGCGAGAGAGTGTGTGAATACCATGTTTGCTTGTGTTTGCGTGGACGTGGACGCGGACGCACACCGCCAACGAAACGGAACCGAAAATCGCATCGAGAGAGGAGAGGAGAGCACAAGCGCTGCTGACGACTGTGCACAGTGACTCAAAAGTCGTGGTTTTTCGGTAAAGCTCTGTTAAGTTTCGAGCCGTTTCAAGAATCGTTGTATGAGTGAACAGGGTTTCGTTTGGGGAGTAAATGCATATTCATTTCTAAAAGCTCTCAAGCTGAATCAGTATTTTTACTAATTTCCCCCTATTTCTGCTCAAAGAACCCTAAAAGCACTCCTGGCGCAAAACAATTGTCTGCGGACCACTGTGCGGCGTTGACGCTGCGTGCATTTGGAGAAATGTGGGGGCTGCACACATACACACACTCACACACAGCACACTCACACACAACTACGTACGAAACCCAGCCCTTGTACATAGGCAGCCTCACACACATTGGCTGGGGCTGTCGCTTTGTTGTTGCTGTCGCTTTCGCTGCAGTTGTTAGTTGGCTGCTTGTTGCAGTCGTCGTGCAACTTGTTCGAGTTGGTTTCGATGTTGGAACGGGTTGCATCGCAGTGAGTTTTCGCCTCTTTTCTGTATTTCTGCACACTTGATGTTTTATAGCATTTGTTTTGGTTATTGCTTCGTGCTTCCAACGCGTTGTGTACGAGTATGCTAGAGTGCATTGGGGTAATGTTGGACAGACCCCCATCAACGGTCAACCATCAGTTTGTATGCCCATGTCTATCTCTATTCACGGACCGATACCGGCTGGGCTTTTGTGAACGGTTTTCCTTCATTATACAAGTACACAACTCTATTTGAAAACAGTGCTACATCTATTGACCCACTTGGAGAACAAATCATACTTACAAAGAGGTTTTTTTAGACCGCGCCAACATCCAGAAAGGAATAAAGCGATCAAACAATAGCCTCACCATCAATATTTGAATTTGAAAATCTTGAAATATTTTTCAGTCCGGTAAATTTCTATCAAATCGCCATAGAATCGCCATCCCTGAGGCATTGTATAGTCTTTGGTTTGGCACTACAATCTGTACAGACACATTTCATAGCCATTTACATATACATATGTCTTTAATGACCACAATCATAGATAATATAAATAATATATTAATATAATAAGTAATATAATACCAATCGATACAATACTTTTGATATTTCAACAATATTAATTCATGAATTTCACTATTTTTTTATTTAAGTTTGTTTTGAGTTCAGTTTCGAAATAAAGATATGTATGTTAATTTCTAAGCATCTAAGATGTTCTTAATTTGAGATAAATTGGTGGAAAACTGTTGAGATGAGGTCATTCGTAGAAACAAAACTATCTTGGATTAATCGGGAAGCGCATACAATGTTCGTCCATCTATTCTCTTGGACTTTCTTTGAACAGATGTGTATTTGAATTCGAATCGAGTTTAATCTAATTTGCACTTTGGGTGACATGAGGGTGACTCAGTGAACTGGCTTATCTAGTGCAGAGTTTCCGTGGCTCTAGCGTCAAACCTATAGACGACCGAAAGACCGACCAGACACCAGCTCGAAAGATAGGGAAAGTGGCGAGGCAGAGGCCCCTAGTAATAAGCAATATGTGAGTGCTTCTATCGATAAGAACAATGCTACGAAGTGTTGGTTTCTTTAACAATAATAACTTAATTTCGGGGCCTAAAGAGTTAATTACACATTTTTGCAAAGAGACAGGTAATTGAGCATGCAATGCAAGATCTTGTGATAACGGAGCACACAGTTCGTGCTGTTGCCGGCCCCCGCCCTTCTACCGACGCCTTCTTCGACCACGGCAAAACGTTGTTACTTCTGGCTCTCTGTTCGAGTATTTTGAAAAGTGCACACGATCGCTTATCTTGCATGTCGCGACTAATTTGTATTTGAACAGAGAGCAGTCCGCAGCGCAGCCCCAGAAAGAGCGCGGTATCGGTATCTTGCGGAGAATGGCAATTCTATATTTGCTAATTATGTGATGGAACGGATGGAAGCGGCAAGCGTCAAGCGTCAAGCACACAAGTACCCAAGCGCCCCAGCCTACAGCACTACAGAGCCGGAAAATCGCTTACTTGGAGCATGCTCCGCAATGGGATTGTGGTGACTGGAGCGTTAAAGCAGGATCCTGATCTGGATGGCATTGGATTGCAGGAGGGCAAGAAGAAGAAGAACGTTTGCTTAATTAGTCCATGTCAGGGCATTTCGCGAAAACTGGTTAGGATCGGAGGAGCCTGATAGGAGCCAGAGCTTCAGGCCCACTGGCATTTATGAATGGCCACGTTCAGTACGTTCTGTAATTTATATGATAATTTTGTAGTAAATGGCAAGTGAGCGGACACTATTCCGGACATACATATGTATGTACATCTAGAGCACTGCGTGGTTTCTGGATCGACAATAGTATGCACCAATCACTGATGAAGTAGATTATCCATAGACAAGATTGTCGTGATCCAAACCTAAGTTAAACTAGCGACGGAAACCGGCTTGAGCACAGCTCACTAATGCTGTTACTTCTCCCTCGCCTTCGTACATACAAATGTAGATAATTTATATCTAAAAAAACCCGCTTCCTTCTCTATTTGCATTTCTTTTATAAGCACACAGACTTTGTTTGTTCCAGATCTCCTTACAAGGCGGCGAGGTTCCTGGACCGCCGATCGTCCCCGAAGCCGCCGTCGAAATGATATCGACTGAATGGATATGGATGCCTTCTATGCAGCTCCAAACATGACCTGTTGCAGTCGTTTCCTGTTCAATTTGGTAGTCAGACAGACAATGGCCATCCCCATCCGACTCCCCGTCGCAGTATGAACCGAACGTAATGCTGCAGTTATAGATGGCAATCGGCGAGCATACTCGTAGTACCTGCCGCTATCGCCATTAAGCCTTGTACACACGAGCATTTATGTCAGGCAATTACAAGGCAGTTTGCAACGCCCACCGAGGGCAGGGCGCAGGGAGAGGGCGATAGGGGCTCATGTGGTAGCCGAGCGCATTCACAACTCATTGTGTACTTACCGCAGACAATGAGAACAGTTCGCTGGCAGCGCGAAGTATCAGCCGGGTCCACCTCTGCGAGTAGTTCTAGATGTCTATCTGCATTTGCATCTGCTTCGGAGGTGTGCTGCTCTTGGTTATGCAAGCGAGATTGTCTCCGAGAGCTGCGAGCTGCGAGCTGCGAGAACGAAGAAATGCCAGCCAGAGCGGGGGAATCTGAGTGAGAGCGAGTGTGGAACCGCCAGCGGGGACCGCACCCGCACCGAGACAGAGACTCGGGTGTCCCCAGTACACCACCACCGGCAATAATAATTTTTTGTTATCTTTTGCCAGACAAACTGTAGACGGCACTTAGTTTTCTGCGAGAAAATTCGTTAGCTGTGGCGCTCTGCGGCGAATACTCCATTTCAGGTCTGCAACATACCGAAGACGTTTTCAGACTTTTAGGCCTAGCGAGCCAGAGGTAGGGCAAAAAAAAAACACGAGTCGGACGGAGCGCGATTGTCTGTGGAGGCGAGAACCAACTCACAGAACCTCACTTGGGTCAACTTAAGAGATCGATTTCGGTGTGGATCTGTTCAGTTCTTCTCGGTTCGTTTTGGATCGGTTGGGGTTACGACTGCGAATACGACCACGGAACAGACACTGGCCGCAGCATGCACGAGCGCAAAGGACGATCGATGCCAGCAAACTGGTTGCAGCCCCAACGAAACTCTGAGCACGACACCAAGACCAGACCAGCCAGGCCGACTAGCATGTGTTCACAGAGACGGGCCCGCCGACTGTCGTTGCTTTGCTTTTGGTATTTGCACTTTGGTGCAGCGCCAATAAATGAGTGTGAGATTAGCCAGCTGGAACGACTGTTCAATCACCTCCAGGTTTCGAAATAAACGTATGTGTACCATACCCGTAGTGGGAAAGTTACAAAATAAAATTAAACTAACAATTACAATAAATTATCATATCTATAAACATAACATAAACATGGTCCAACCAAATTGCAGTAAAAACAAAACAATAACAAAAATTAATTAAAATTAATGAAAGTACATACACTACCAGGACTTGTAAAAATTCTCGATCCAATGACAAGATTAGATTAAATTATTAAAATATTTGAATACATTTTTATACTCAAACTGTAACAAAACAAAGTCCATAAAAAAATGTACCCAATCAATATATTTATTTTGTACCCCCCGCTGATCCAAAGTGTGTTGAACGAAACCGATAAGCTGCAAACGAAAAAGTGTCGGGAGCGCATTGGAAAGCATCTTGGGAGAAGGCGAGAGAGATCGAGAGAACCGAATGTGAAAGAGCGATCAACTGCGGGGTATCAATCGTGAGCAACCTTTAAGTGTTACTCTCTTAAGCGCTCTCTTCGTCGTGTGCTCTTTTAGTTGCCGCGTTTGTTTTCGCCAATCTCTGCGAAGCAGTAGAGTGGAGCAACTTTGTTTCCGTACATTGACGTCTGTGCATAACATGCACCCGATCAGTTCTCTTACTCTATCCACTCTCCCACTCGCTCTCTCTTTGTACCTTTTATGGTGAGAGTCGTGCTTGGCCGTCTAGCCGAAGGCCTGTGATATAGGTCGGCTCCCTCTGCTCCGCATTAAAGTATTGATGCAAATTTATGTAGCGCCCCGATATGCGTGTGCAATGTCATACACATTAATCGCATTCATCAGCTTCTTTTCATCATCGGCCAGGCCCAGGGTATAGTTCCAACAGATAAATGTTTTGGAGCGCAGCTCCATTAAAAGCCTCTTCTTCCCCGAGGCGGTGCACGCATCGAGAAGACCGCATCGAGATCCTCGAAAATTGTAAACAAAAATGGGAATGCAGTGTAGACCACTATCCGTTCTTGATGAGATATTTTTACTTCCACAAGATTTTCAGGAAGTGCGGTATAAATACATACAAACCACATAAAATTACATAAATAAAAGCACTTAACTTATTTTTTCCAGCATAATGTACATATCTACTATATATGTACGTCCGAAATCGATTTTGTATTTTCGAATTGGGAGAGAAAATCAGTTGGAAACAGGCAACCGTCCTGTTTATAGTAAAAGCGTATTTTGTGGACAGCTGGGATCTGCCCCTGGGATCTAGGATCTGATCTTTGGAAGTACACTAAAAGAAGTCGAAAAAAGTCTCTCGGTTTCGTTTCTATGCAGCACAACTTGGTTTTTTAAAGCATAACTAAAATCGTTTTTTTTCAACTTACATCCATGATAGTATCTTCAGGTTAACGATAGCATACCATAAATATTCGATTGATATTCATGAGTTCACACGCATTTCAGCCTACCTCAGGATACAGTGTTTGTGAAGAGCGGCTTGGATACTCGTAAATCAATTAGCAGAGAGCGCAAGCGAATGGCAATCGGTAGGGAAGAGTATCTGGCAGATACGGAACCGAAACGAAACCCGTTTATCGTGCCAGTTGGGTGGATACACGCTCTCGAAAAAAGCAAACAGAAAATACAACCCGTACCCACTGAGAAAATGCAAATTGCAAAGAAACCGGCAAATATTTATTTATGATTTGCTCTTAGTGGCCCACTCATTCTCTCTCTCTTTCTCTTTTGCATATCTCTCTTTGGAGTCTTTTCTTTGCCCTGACCGACCCGACCGGAGGGGCGAACGACACCGACCCCCGCTTCGATCTCTTCTTTCAGAGCCTTATTTTTACAATTTCACCGCAATCGGTGGCAATACAAACATTTATACAATTTGACGCTTAGCTGTCGCAGTTGTCACCTACAAAGCCGCAGCCGAGTTGCACGACACGACGTTGGCAGCCGCAGCACGGACAAACGGACAGACGGACGGATGGAGACCCGGGAATGCATGCTGCAGAATTCTCCAAATGACCCGCCACTGTAATCCAAGTTGCCAACCGCAATTCAGTCTCCCCACGCGCTCCCTCTCCCGCTCCCCACCCCCACCCCCAACCGCTCCCTTTCAGCATCGGGTCGTGTTCGTGTTTTATAATTGTTATGGCCATTCTACAAGTTGTTGTACATTGTTGGCCGCTTGTTTGCTTTGTTTGGTGGGGGGAACGGGATCGGGACACCGCGTAGTGGGTACCAGGTAACGAGGGGAGGGGTGGGCTGCTGCTTAGGCATGCGAATTACTCACATCACTGGCGCCCAGATCTCAAATGTATATGTGCTCATATAACTGCATTCTCCCTGGATTTCATCTGAAAGACGACTAACCAAAATTTGGAACGGATCCGGACACGATCCACTCAAGTTATGTGGAAAAAAGCTAGCTTACCTCTGAAATTCTCAACCATTAAAAAAGTTTAACTAGAGATACCTAGGGCTTTGTCTAAATTTTGATTAAAATATGACTTCATTGTTATTTAATATATCTTGTTCACTCTCCTAGCGCTACCAGGAGCTTCTAATGTTTTGAGGCACTAGTCAGAAAAATGTGATTTGCCAATCCTAAAAATTTACTAACATCTTGATTAATTTTTATACCCCCTACTCAGTCACTATAGCTCCTCTCCGCCAAAGGGCACTACCAAGAGTGTGTGTGAGAGAGACAGAAAATAAGTAGGCACTGCAAGTTCATTTGGTCCCTCCAGATATGATAGTAATCCAATCTGATCCAGTAGGCAGTCTTTTAGATAGGGTCATTCTCAACAATTCTGCGTTTTTTGTTTTCTCGTATCTTGAAAATTTTGGATGCCACAGATTTTGGTCCTTTGTGGGGGCGAAAACAGGCCTGAAAAAATTTAGAAGGAAACTTGATTCAATGTGATATCACAGGAGTCTGGATACAACATTTCGTTGGTCGACCTCTTATAGTTTCTGGGACCTAGGCGTCCAACTAGACGGAATGACAGACGGACGGACATGGCTCTATCGACTCGGCTATTGATGCTTATTACAAATTTATATATGTACTTAATGGGATCGAAAACGCTTTTTTCTGGGCGTTGCACATATCCACATTCCCCAAAAATCGAATAAACACACCCTTACATTCATTTTGGATATCGGGCATAAAAACCACAACAATTCACATTTACTCAGTTTTGCTTGCAGATTTACCTACAAATTAAAAAACTACCGCTAAAAATTGAAAATTGTATTAAAGTGGCAAGTACTGAAAAGTCCTGAAAAGCTTGGAATTATTCAATCGGTGGTGATCAGAAACGAAACTTTGTCCGCAAACAAAGAGCCATGTTCGCCCTAAGAAGTCAAAAGACTCAGACGCTGGACTTATGGCGTCGAAAATGATGAAAAATAAGTTACTAACACCAAATTAAATTATTTTAAATTACTTAGTAAAGAAAATGAACCATATGCCTTCATAGTCTTTGCACATTTTCGAATACGGAAGGAGCCACCTTTATTACCTTACTTTAATGCATAAAGTACAATCGTTAAAGAAGGAAATAATTAATTTGGAAATTGAAGGACCGGGTGTTGAATCACGTATTCCAGTTGGAACACTACAAGGAATCTCGAAAAATTATCCAGCTTTAATTTAGTTCTACTCAATCCGATTGAATATTTCATGGATAACCAGTTCCATCGTACGCGTGCGTTTGATCTTACTCCGTATACACCTCTTAACCTTAACCTTGTTCGATTTTTTACATTCCCCTCGCTGCGGCTCGGTCCGAAATTTGAGATGTTTTTGAAGCCGAACAAATTGGTAGCTTAATGACAAATGGAGTGCCAAAAAACGTGTTTTAAGTCCTTAGCCAAAAGACGCAGACTCATTTAAGGCACGAAGGCATAAGATTCCGACAGCCAATAACAACAACATACAGACATACATAGAGGATGGCAGCAGGAAGAAAGGGGCCAGAGAGGGAGGCCAGGCAATCTGCATATATAAAGCAACCAAAGGACAAACCTTTTAACCGACGGGGATAACCAGCGGGGAGAGCCAGGAACCTGTGTGGGGAAAGTTGCACAGGAGGATGCGTATGCGGATGCGGATGCGGAATGTGGATTCGGGAAAGGGTGTCGAACGGCGAGTAATTTACGCTTGCATGCAAATTGAAAAACAGTCGAGAACAGGCATTGGACAGTGGACACCAGACACTGTAGAGGGTGCTGGAGCGAGATGAGTGGGAGCTGCTCTGGGCTGATTGAGCGCCAGGGTGATGCATTTTAAAACAAATTGGCACAGTTTGTGAGAGGTGGCCAGAGCCAGTGCCACCCGTGTTTTGCCGGGCCTGATGTTGTTGTGGCGTGTTTGTCACTCAATTAGATGCAACTCATTTAGCCTCTCTCGCATTTTGGCCGGGATTTGTGTGCACAAAATGTTAATCAAAGCCTGATGGGATTTTTTAGGCCAACTAATGAGCGACGAGAGCCAGCGATGGAGCGGCAGTGAGGGCAGCATGCAGTGGGAGAGTGAGTCGGGGTTTCCTTGGACGGAGACATATTGATGACAGCCGCTCAATTAATATGCAAAATTTATGCATGGGAAAGCTCAAAACAAACCAACGAGCGATCCCATGCCATGCCAGCGACAAAGAGCTAAAAAAGAGCAGAGGAAGTGCAAAAGAAGAAATGCAAGTGCGATACAAAAAATCAATACAAATTAGCCGCGTTATTTTGTTCTTTTTTTCTATTAAGTCGACTTTTCTGCCCCATAATCCCATCGGAACAGTTCAATAGAGTGTTATATAGGTTGTACGAGTCTACAAATATTTCTGTACATATGTACGAACTATTTGTATTGCGAAACATATTTATTGATAATTCTGAATTTTTTTCATCATTTTACTAACACACAACTGTTGGCTAAAACAGATTTATTCCTTGAAAAAGCTGTTGCCTAAAAATACGCGGTTAATGGCAGTATCATTTGGCAAGCGTACATTTATTTCATATTCTTTCATTCTTTTAGAAAAGGAAGTAGTTATAAGACTATTCTTTCCCTTTCTTATTTGGCTTGTGATATGTATTATCTGGATTTGGTTACGAGACATACGGGAAATAGAGTGGAGTGTGGAAGACTGCGAGAATGTTTTGTCTGCTGCAATTAAATCACTGGCTGGGTCTCTGGCTGATCTGGAATGGAGGGTGGCCGAGGCTGCATTTGACGACTGGCTGATGGAAAAATTGTGAGACAAAATAATTTCGGAGGGGGGCAAATGGCCAGAGATGGAGCATAAGCAAGGGCAGAAGGTTTGGTTCGCACACAGCAATGCACAGCGGGACAGTCCGAAAGTTTTCCACATCCTGATGATGATAATGATGACCTGCGCAACAATAGTTTGCATCTCACAGATACCCAAAGAGAAGTTGTTTCTCTGGCTCTTCTTCTACTTTTCTTGTTATTGTAGCTGGCTTGCCGCAATCAACTGCACTGCATGTTGCGGTTCCTCGAACAGCATTGCTCTTCTCCGTGGCTGTCGCTGTGGGGTGGGTGTGCCTGTGTATCTAATCACATTAGCACGTGCGCATATCCTTTCGGCCCGGCCCGTGTGTCAGTGTTGGCGGGGGTTGTGCTGTTGCTGTTTTCTGACTCCCCAGGCTGCCATTGCCAACGAGGACTGTGAAAACTAAAAACATTTTGGGCGCTTTGTTTTTGGCTCATTTCGTTTGTCGATTTTGATTATTTGTCTGTGGCTACCCGCACAGACTTTTGTTTTTTGTTTTTGCTAGCTTCCCCAACTATTTGTATCTCAAAGTTGGCCCCACACGTACATACATATACCACATGCATATGCACGAAATTTTCTTTGTGCACTTCAAACTTTTCCTCAAAGGCGAAATAATTTCGCATCCTTCCTCATTCCCCAGCCCGCGCAGTGATCAGTTTATTCGACTTATTCGTAACAGTCCCCCCACCAGCTACTCAAATTCAAAATTCACGACGATAAGCTCTTGGCTAAGAGGTAATAGATTGTATGTGGACTCAAATTGTGGGGCGTGTGATACCCATGCAAAAAGCTATGTTTCCTGACCTGCATTAAAGTCTGGATCGTATGAAACAAAGCCAGCAGTAATGTTTTCCATCGTAGCAGCGCCATCAAGTTTCCCGTAACGCATTTTCTACATATTTACTATGCAATATCTCTGTAAAATTCCTAAATTCCCTGGAAATTCCTATGAAGATGACTTTTTGAGTAGCTTTCTGTAGCAAGTCATTCAGCTTAGACTAAACAAAATGAAAATACTAAGAGATGGAAACCTACACCACTACGCCTCCCTCCCTCCCTTTCCTATGTCATGAAAATGATAATCTTTGATCCATCTACATATTTCATCCAAATTAGACCTTTTTTCATCAGAAAAAAAACGGATTGGTACCATTCGGTATTCCATGTTATGTGATTTCGCGCAAAAACACAACGAGTATCACGTACGAACCTTAGTGAACAGTGTATATCTCTATATATCTCTGTATGCCTGCATGCTTTATAGCTCCAACTATTAAAGAATATTTAATTGAAATGGAGCTTGATCCTCGCCAGTGTGTCGGACTAGATAAATACGTGGGCTAACTATGAGAAAATGAACTTGGATAGTTGCAAAAGGTTTTATTGGTTTTACAAATATTTTCCAAGAAGATAAATACGATACTGAGCATTGTTGGCACTCAAAAGGAAGTGAACACTATCTGTAACAGCCTCCTTAAGCGTCGAAAAAACGTCGACACATACATTTTTTGTTTAAAGTTCCCTTTAGATGAGAGGAATTTGCAAGGCAGATGACCCACTGATTCGATATTTTGGGTGGTTAAAGGGATGAGGCTTAGTGTGAGAGGTCGGATTGTGGTAGTAAAGTACAATCCGTATTTAGAGGCTGGTTTTCCTCAATTCTAAAACAACTTTCGACCTATTTTTGGCCGATTTTGAATTTGTCTGCGATCCAACGCAAACACATCTTTTTTAACACTAAGTGATCATGGAAATTTAACGAGGGGGAACGTTGGGAGTTGCTGCGGAGACCGCAACTCTACATTTATACCCGATACATAGTCAGTATGGCTACATTGAGCGAAAATGTGTGCGTGTCGTCGGGCGCTGCGTAGCCCATGCAAATTAATTTGTTCCTTTTGGCTATAAAAATGATCCGATCTGATCCTCAGTAATCATTCAGTAATCTAGTAGATACGGTAATTCTCTATGATTTTGCGTTTTTAGTTGTCTCGTTTCTTCAATATTGCGGATGCCACAGATTTTCGTCCTTTGTGGGGATTGGGCGAAATTTTGAGATATACGTTTTATAGTGAGATCAAACAGAAGTGTGGATACCAAATTTGTTTTATCCAGCCTTAATAGTCTCTGAGAATTGTGGATGCCCCAGATTTTCGTACCTTTACGGGGGCGGAAGGGGGTGTGGCGAAATTTTGAAATACACTTGTAACAATGAGATCTAACCGGAGTGTGGTTACCAAATTTGGTTGCTCTAGCTTTTATAGACCCTGAGATCTAGGCGCTAATGTTTTGCGCTAAGCAAAGCCGGCTATGATACGTGTGTGTTAGAGAGAGACAAGGCGAGAAAAAATTAAATTGTTTTCTTCATTCTGGCTAATTTGGTCGGAAATGACTTCAAATGAAATCATAAATTTGAAACAGCAACAACTAATGACATCAGAACCTTTAAGATACATATATAGTTGGGAAGCATATACATAGGTAGTTATACCGCTGATGTAGTATTTAATGATATTCATAGAATCCACTTAGGTATCCAAAAGCTTTTCAATTGAAATTACTAAGCTACGAATTAATTAATTTAAAAGCAATTAAATAGATCAAATCCACCTTTAACATCGTTCTGATGTATTTCCAGAGAGCTATCTATTTTCCCTCTAATCTGCTGAAACAACGATTTGAAGAATAAAATAAATAATAATAATAAATAATCAAATAAAAACACCTGAACAATTTTTTAAACTCCCTGAAAGGTAATAACAATAATTAAAAACCGTTTTATTAAATGCAATCGAATAATCCTTTATATTTTTGTATAGCAAGCGATTAAACAAGCAGAGAACTCTAAATATGTATATAATTTCTCAACAAATTTGTAGTTTTGTTTTGCGGCTTTGAATCTCAGTGAACATTGAAGCGAGCTTATTTATAGATATGCACATCTTTGTGCAATACAGTAGTTGTATTGTAGGACATACGACATATTTATTCCGTCTTCACTGGCACGTAGGTCAGAATGATGGCCGACTGTGGGGCCACCTTAAGATCGCCAAGGCTAACTTTGCCAAGGGGTGTTACCTTGTCGCCTTCCTCGTAATTGTTAAAGTTCTCGCTGAACACCGAGACAGTCATTTTGTCGGGTAGATCGTGGGCGCTGGTAATGTTGCTAGACTGTGGCGAGTCGGTCGGATTGAAAATTACAAAATAACCAGGATTGCCAGACTTGATTCTGCAGGAATAAAAAGATTCAGTAAGAAAATGTTGAAAACAAAAAAATCGGGCAAAGACAAAAAGTGTTAAGTGAAGTCATGAATTTACCTCTGCCTTCAATGGGCAAGCATGAATAAAGTTATAAGATTAGTGTCAAGGAAATAAAAGAATACGGAAGGACTCATTACCTTGAGAAGGCCACCAGAGGATCCGCTTCATAGAGCTTCAACTCGCCGTGCATGTAGGAGGCCGAGTGACGCAGCTGCTCGATATGCTTGTAGGTCTTCTCGGTTACGTTCTGATACTCGATGGCATCCACTGACACCACTGGCACGCCTGGCAACATAGAGAGGAACAAGGCCAGGGCTGACGGGTCGTGGGGGGTGTCCACGTAGACATCACGGAAGTTCCACTGAAGCCAGCTTCCGTTGCCTGCTTGGAGGAGCGTGTTCTCGAGATTCTTAAACAGAGACTTCTCTGGCTTAGATTTGCTAAGCACTTGCACAAAGTTGCCGTACATAGGCAGATCAATGCCGTTGGCCCCTGCAACCTCACTCAATTGGTACACCTCTGGCTGTACGATGTCCTCAGCCACCGATAGGAAGGCATCGGCGGAGGCATTCTTCACAATGCTCAGGTAGTCATATAGCACATCGCCCAGCCCAGAGAGGAAGGTGGTTTGCTTGTGGTCGTAGAAGCCATATTCGCTGGGTCCCAGATTCAGATCCTTGGGCACTGCAGAGATGACTTCGTCCTCGAGGCTGTCGGACAGCACAAAGAACTTGGTATTCTTCAGGCGGAAGCCTTGTACACCCAGTTCCACCAGATGCCTTAGCACCCCACCGAATTCGTTCCTTATTATTGAGCTATTCATTTTTAGATCGTAATAGCCATCTTGGAACTGGGAGAGCACATAGCTGTCATCCAGTTGCTCCCAAGCGGACCGATTACCACCCACCTTCAGCCAGTTGGTGGGTGGGACCGATCTTCCGCTCACCCAGACAAAGGCGGCCCGCTTCTCCTTGTTTTTGAGAGCATCCTGAACCAACTTCGACTCCTTGCCCACGTAGTTGGGTGTCAAATCAAGGATTACCTTTACATCGCTGGCCTGGTATTGTGCCACAAGTTGCTTAATCTGTTGCTCCACTTCAGGCTGGCTAACACTGTAGGTTAGGGCAGCGGGAAGCTCATATATTGCTCCTGTAGCATGGATTTTCTTGGCAGTCTCGACGTCATCCGGCTTGGCAGCCTCAATACCAGCGAACTTCGCATGGGGTCCTCGCTTGTACCAGGGCAAGGGCTGAGGAGCAGCGCACTTCGGTGCTCCGATGATGATCATAATGGCGCCCACAAGCATGGCTGCCCAGATGGCCCAGAAACCGACGAAGAAAATCCATCGCAAGCGCACCCAAAACGGATCGTTGGCGTACTTCATGAGTTCCTCCTTGCTCATGCCCGTAAAAGCCTACACAAAGGAAATTTAAGATTAGCAACCTGATTTCCTATAGATTCCTCTACACTTACAGCTTTTCCGTTAACGTTTCCGATATCAATCTTGGCATCTCCATTCTGGTGATCGCCCTTGATGAATTTGACCTCATCTCGTCCGGCCAGCTTCTCGTCAGGCCCGCCAGATCCCAGCATTTGCTCGTCGGCGCCATCCGCCACAGTAATCTTTTCCTCTTGCACCATGTCGACTGAAAAGTGAACAGTTTTTAAATTGACTTTAATCAGCCTCAATTAAGCGGAAATTAGAATCTCGCCGTCATCGAACGCGACTTTCTCTTCAAAACAAGAATTTTAAGGTTACGTTGAAAACCCAGCTGTGAATTTTCAGCCACACATGTAAATTAAATGATTCGTCCAATGGAGAGTCCCAGTCCCAGTCTTTCATATGGAATTTTATCACCGAAGCGTTGCTGACGTCATCACTTGCGTTTGCACTTAACCAGGTATTGGCACTGTTCTGATAAAATCAATATCCTATCATCCCAGCTCGACGCATATTTTCAGTATCTGTCACCTCTGATAAGGCGCCCACCACCCACGCCTTTTTACATAATTACATATGTATTTGTAAATATAGTACATACATATGAATGTACATATATGTATATATATACTGGAGTGCAATGGCTTTGCTTTGTTACGTCAGCAATTAAGTTTTCTCACATTAATTATACATACTTTATATAGAATTACCTATTTCGGGGGTTGGCTTGCTGTCCAGCAATTTGTCCTCCGCTATGGTTTTAAAAACTTCTGTGGAATCCACTGGCGTCTCTGCGGCAGCTGCGTAAACGAGTTCGAAATTGAAATTGTAAACGATAATTGATTACAGTATTGTCTCAGAAATATAGCGACTCTCCAAAATATATCAAAATATACCGTCTCATTTCGAATATATACCATAAATATACTGACGAGTTCAAGTTCTATTATACATATTCCTCGTTTTTGATATTCCGTGCAATATAACAAACTTAATAGAACCCTCAGCCCTGCCCACATAATTTTATCCTATTAATGAATCAATTTTCTACCTGACTGGCGTATTTTAACCGCTTGTTTTTATTGGATCTTGCCTGAAAAAAGGTTTTAGCGAAATCGGTCAAACAAAAAAGGTTTTAACGAAAATGGTCAAAAAAAACGAAAGAGTATAGTCCTTCAAATTGTTCAATTTTAATATTCCGTTGAATAATTCTGGCTAACTAAAACCTTTAGTTCTGCCCACATAATTTTAAACCGTTGATGAATAAATTTTCTTTAAAATTGCTTTTATTTTATTTTGGCTAAAATAAAGTTTAAACAAAAATGTCCAACAGAAAACCTGTCGCAAAGTTCTCATGTCAATGTTGCTGGGATGACAAGCATTTCCGCAATTCTATAATATTCTTTTCCCTAGGGTACGCGACAAGGATTTGAGAGTGCGAAAATACAAAAAACCCTGCGTAGGAAGTTTCTATACCATTTGTTCTTAAATATACCTTTAAAAATAAAATGTAACAAATGAAATTGATCAAATCAACCTTTATATACCAATATACCGGAAATATACCGTCAGCTTAATTTTGACTTCAAACAAATACCCCATTTGATCAATATACCTTGAATCCACAGTTAGTCTTCAAGGTATATTGTCCTCACACGCGAGGTGAGGTTCGTACGAGCTGCTTTCCTGTTTTCGCCTGATTTCCATACCCTTTTTACAGCACATTGAAAATTACGACTCATCTGTTCGTTACAGGAGAGAGTGTGAACATCTGAGCTTCAGAAATACCTCAAATTTACCTTCCCATTTTCAAAATATACCGAAATAGTTCTATAGCAGACAGATTTCAAAAGCTTATAGCTTGAATAGTTTTCCATCGGAATCGGATCCATGGCAGAAACTTATTTGAGTTACCAAAATTTAGAATAATGTATAACTAACGATTCTTTACAATGTATTTAACGAGCAACATTTTTTAGGGTGCCCTATAAACATGCGTAGTAACATGCGGCAAAAAAACTGTTTGTGATTTCAAGTGTGACCATATCGACAATAGATATCATCCTAACGCGTTATTAAACGACGCTTGCGAAGGCTGATTGATACAATTTGCCAAATACTCTTGGCGCAAATTTCAAATGTTTAGGGTGTATACAGACCTGTAACAGGCAATGTAGCGGAGTTCTGCAATAAGATGTATTTGGCTTATTTCGGTGAAACAAATTAAGATCTCAGAGTCATTTCTTACCTTGCAGGCGGCGCCACCTAAACGTTTCAGGCGTGAAAATAAATTCATGGCGAACTTTTGTGGTAGCTTTGAAGAATCTGTAAAAATCACAATAGTCACGAAATGGTTCATTTTGCAATCGAGCCCACTTTTACACATTTTTAATTAACATAGCTTACATTGAAAGAGCTAGTTTCTAAAATTTGTATTTCTCACACTTTTTAATCGCGAATATCATGGTAAAGAATGGGTTAGTAACTACCCGCAAATGGCGAACAAACAACTGACAACTGCCTGGTTGGAGGCCTGCATCGAAAATGAATTTGCAGATACGCGTTGGCAGTGCATCGATCCCAGAGACCCAGTCTCTCCACCGCAATCTCTTTTCGAATTTGATTTAATTACAATTTATGTGCCTGTGGCAGCGGCAGCAGCCGGACCGAGCCGAGCCGGGCCCAAAACTACCTGTCTGCCTGCCAGCTCAGCTTACCTGGGCGAGTGCGAGAGCGAGTGAGCAAGACTTGCTAAATTGGCAAGCAAGTTGTTCGGGCTGGGTTGGGCTGGGCCGAGGCCGAGATGGGCAAAAAATGCACAAGTCGGCACATTCCAAGCCCAAAATGTGCAGCGTCTCCGTCTCGTGATGGAAGAGGCTGGCTGCTACAAAGTGATAGCACGTCTGAATTGCGATGCCGTTGCCCGTGCCCCCACTCTCAGGTGGTTCCGATTCGGCGTCAGCAAGGTTGACAGAACTAAAATTGCTCTCCACACAGAAATTGACCAATTTCCTGGGGCAGATTAGATTACGGGGCCTATTGGCCGACATGCAAGCGTCATTAGACCATTAGGTGAGGACTATAAATATCGCCAGCGGGCGCACTTTGTCAAGTTTAAACAATGGGCTTTCATGGGAGACGACTGATGCTGCTAGCTTCCTTCCTGCTGGTGCTGCTACAAGTGGGGCTCCAGACGGAGGCCAGGCCACAGGTGACAGATGAGTTAAAATCCAGCATAATCTGAATATTTTCCCCGCGCTAGGAAGTGATCACAGCTGCTGTAGAGGAGAACGAGACCGAGGTGGTGATCAAAAAGGAGGGCGGCGATGGTGATGGGGATGGCGATGATGACGATTCATCCTCCGAGGAAACAGTCGAGGACTCGGAAGAGACTGCACGCAGACGTCGCGAGGTCGGCACGGACGATGCTTTGTTGCCACGCGCGGGAATTCCAGGTTTGCCAGACCCGGCCACCATTATCAAGATCGCTGAGCTTTTTCAATCCGTAGGCCAGCAAATCGTCCCAATTCTGCTGGAGGCTGTTCTACCTAGCCCGGACGCAGTAGGCGATCGCATAGCCAGGTCCCTCCAGTTTTTGAACAACGTTAAGAGCAGCTTGGATGGGTTTTCCGAGGAGAGGAAGTAAAATTCACATGCTATCGCTGTAAAAGGGCTAACATTTGAAGAACTGAGCTGGTTACTGCGGTGATTTTGCAACCCAACCCTCAGATAGATGCAGATTTGGGCAATAATAGAGAGTAGCTTAGAAGCTCACGGCTTGTGATAAGTTTTATTTGCTTTATTTTCGTATAAATATTAAATTGTGTCCTGGAAAATACATATATTTTTCTGTACACTGTTTCTCTGAAATCTTTCAGGTTCAGGCATAGTTCATCTTAATTATCTGTTCATTTGGTGAAGAGAAAAATACCATGGAATCCGGGTATATCTTCACAACGCTTTTCCACCTGGTCTAACAGAAGGTCGAGAAGCATGTCCATGGTCTCCAGTACATTAGAATGGCAAAAAAGATTACCAGCGACCATTTTTTTAAAAAGCGGATGGATCTCTTTGTCAGCGCAGAGCTGTTCAAGCCGTGTCGTAATCGAATCCAGTATTCCCGCTACGACATGGGCTGCAAAGTTCTCCTCCTTGAATATGGAACGGCACTGATTGAAGAAAGCAGCGCCCGGCTCCGCGCCACCACTCAACCGTTTAGTTAAATGTTGGTGCCTAAGTAAAGTTTTATCTTGATCCCATATGGTACCATAATCGGCATCGCCCGGGTTATTGGGCGCACGGTTAAAACCGTTGCGCATTGAAGTACGCCGTCTCTCAGGCTCATCAAAGTACTCAATTGCTGCAATCGGATTGGATGACGACCGAGATTTTGCTGCCCTGTTCTGATTTCTTTTTCTTGCCTCCGAAGGACTGGTATGCAGGAGTAGCAGAAGGCAAAGGGCCAATCCCATGAAAAAAGCTGTACCAAAGCGCTAGGAAATATACATATGAATTGATAATTATGTTTAAAATTATACTTTACAGTATGCCTTGGCAGCCTTCTCACCATCTTTAGCCCTTTCGCATTCAATTGACATTGCTGCCAAGCTCACAACTTCCAACCAGTTTCGCTTCACCACTAACTAGCGATTTTTCGGATCTTAGTTTTACTTGATTTGATCTTGCCTGTTAGCACATCGCATCGTTTCATGGATCGACACTGTATTTGTCTTAAATTAGACAACGGAATAGTCAACAGGGAAGTTTGAATATAGCACATAAATATATATGTACATACATACATATGTATGTATATAGAATCTGCCAACTTGAATCTTTTCGACTGAGATTGAGTCTTGAAAAATGCTACCCTCATATTCCTTCCTTCCTTAAATGGAAATCGATATTCGTGTATACAAAATTGGCTGTTTGCTCACGCAAGCCTCAGGTATACAATGTTTTCATTAGCGTTGATGACCTGGTTCATAAGCGCATTCGGAAGTCGTGCATTAGCTGCTAATGAAATAATTATACAGCATCGTCTTAGCATCCCAAGGTTATTTTTATCCCCGTTTCTTTGCGTTCAAGATTGTTTTGCATACTCTCAACAAAGTATTGGTGTACCTTACCATATGCACGAGTAGCGACAATCACCGGCTTTTGGTTACTATCGAGGGCCGAAACTTCAGTGGGAATGCTTTTCCATAAACAAGCCTCAAGGGAGGACCTCCAATTTGCGCACAGTTTGTGTCCCAACAATAATTTTTGAAGAGTAGTTTTACAAATTGGGTGTGTCATTGCAGAATGGCATATGAATGCACATGTGTACATACATATGTCTTGTGTATGCACTTTGCACCGATATCCTCTTCGGAAATTTTTGAGATTTTGACATACATACATACGTATCAAAACTGATTGTCTATATTAATAACTGAATGCACTTCGAATCGAATTTGTAAATTTCATGGGCTTTTGAAATCTTATGTAAAGGGCATTCATCGCTATACTTGTTCAATCGATGAATCCATGCATGTCGAATCGTATGCAATTTTTGATTAAAGATAAAGGTCCAATTTACACCGTTTAGGTTGTTACTGCATGGAATGTCTGTCCTCCAACTTTGTTGTAAGAACATAGGTACGTGCATATATTGTACATGTATGTACGTACCGATTTACCAACAACGACGTTCTTAAAACTGTTCTTAATGTTTTTTTGTGTTTGTTTCTGGCCTGGTTTTGAACTATGTAAAAGAAAAACTGCCGTGGAAGGTGTCACTTAGAGCCAACTCAGTACAAATAGTTTCTCTACACAACAGGTCATTTGGATATCTTCACGGTCAATGAGAGGCACAATTTCTATAGCCTAGATGCTATAGGCAGCACCTCGCGTAACTCTCTGGCCTCGCTAGTATCCAGATACAAGCAAGCAATGGTCATGGCGAGGCCAGTGAGCTTCCGACATGCAGCTTCCCCAGGCAATGGACTCCGTGGGCTCCATCTTCCTTACAAAAAATACACTGACTAGTCGGATCCTCTCCAGTGCTCACACTGCACGAGAGAAAGTGTGTGTGAGAGATAATAAGTAAGCCCGTGCCGGGGGTAGCCATGGCAATTCCATTTGTCCCTTCTGGCTATAATTATGATCCGATCTGACCTAGACTCGGGCCAGATATGGTCAAAATCTACGATTCTGTGTTTTTAGTTTTCGCATCTTCTTAATTTGTTTATGCCACAGTTTCTCGTCATTTGTGGGGGCGAAATTTCGAAATTTTTGGATACAAAATTTGGTTGCTCTAGCTCTTATAGACTCTGAGATCTCTGTTTCGGAGGAGGGACAGACAGACATGGATATATCGACTCGACAATTGATGCTGATCAAGAATATATGTATATTATACATACATACATTATTATTTATTATTGTTATTGTATGAGCAGAGGTTTTGCAACGTTGAATTTCTGCAGAGCTTCTGCGCTCTCCCGCACAAAGACTCTCAGCCGCCGCCACTTCGGCAATTACCTTGATCTGCCGCCGTCGTTTTTCAGTTCTATGCTAACCCCTCTGCTTATTGGTTGCATATCCACCTCTCACAAAATTTATCTGGCCATAGCAACCAATCGGCTTCCGCTAAGCCACCAAAATTAAATATATATTTTAAAGTTTAAACCAAATTCTTCTTTTTTTGGTTTGAAACAAATAGGTGCCAAAAAAGCTTGGCATCTCAAACATGTATCTCAACGTGCCGATATTTTCCAACTTATAGTATCGATATATCGTTTGTATTATAACTTATATCATCGCTATTAAATTACTTACACGACGCAATACGACATATACTCTATGTATATTTTGACGCAGGTGTTTTTAATTTTGATTTTCGTGCTTTCCTGCATCGTATATTAGGATTATAGGATATTACAGATTTTGTCATCGCTCCAATGAAAGCAGACAATTTTTAGAGTAATTTCGACGAAATATTGCAGTTAAAGATCATCTTACAAAGATATTAACGTATTATATCGAGATCGGGCTCCCGATGTATGTATATACAGAAAACAAATCGAATGCATGAATATGTAAAAAGGATATTTTTAATTAAATTTCAAAGCTTGGAAACCAGTATTGTAATATTATATGAACAAAATATAACATACACATACACCGGTTGACAAGCAACAAGTCTTCAAATGCCAGCACATTCCATATTGACCAGCAGTTCGTCGGCATCCCCATCACCGCGGCTGGGGCACATCCTCGGGCCCAGTCCGTCACACGCCGTGGGGCAACATCATCTGCTTATTGGTGGCCTCTTGGTGCTTTCTTCCGGGTACGATGCAGCTTCAAAGCGGCTCGCGATTGCAGATCCTCTTCACTGGATAATTGACAGTTAGTATATATGTAGATATAAGCGTTAAATGTTTCAATAAAATAAAAAACAGAAATCAAAACATGTTCGTTAGTTTTCGGTCTTTCTGGCTGCCTGATCTACCAGCTCACAGAGCTTAAAAGCCAAAGGCTAATTCTCTGAATTAGCACAGCCAGCATCAGCTGGCTCACCCGTCGAGACACACGAGTATTGTGCAAAGTCTCGATGGTTCCTGATGGTTATAAATACTCTTTATAACACTGATGAGGACATATGCAAAAATGAAACCCGGAAACTAAATCTCAATTGTAAGCCATAAGCCATAGATTATAGCCAGATCCTTATTATTGTTTGTTGTTCGCACTGCCCACTGTACCACACTCTGAGCTACATATGTATCATCGTCGACTCAACCTCGAAGTAGGCAATAAATAACTAACTACATGACTTCTACATGTTACCACCCACAAATATGCTATACATTTTTCTTTCCGAATTTCCTTATTGATTTCAATTTTTATACCCGATACTGAGTATGAAATGAGTATAGCGGTATATTAGATTTGTGGCGACGTTATGACTGATTTTCTGTCTCTCTCGCACGCACTCGTTGTCGTTCAATGTTAGCGCCGTCTGGCGGAGGAGAGCCATTCTAAATAAGTATCGGGTATAAATGTAGAGTTACTGCCGTAAACTCACAACGTTCCCCCTCGTTTCTTTGAGTAATTTTATTTCAAGAGAAACGAAGCTTTTGCTATTTTTTCAGCGAACCCCTTCGACAAATAAATTAGAGAATACTTTTGAACAGCCTTTTGCTTTAGCTTATCGATGCGTCAGCAATGAAGGAAACCTTCGCGTTCACAGTGGTGCATCCGAAGGTATCGTCCACAATATAATTGCATTCCCCTTAATTCATTCCATTCCATTGTCGAGGAGTGGGAGCAGCCGGATAAGATCACCTTATCCGAGTAAGAGCCCCTGTTCGAACAGACAACCCAGCGCCTGGAATTCAATACTAGGCTCCAAAATCCTCACTGCTCCCTTTCGTCACTATTGTAAATACTTCTGCGTTTACTGGTCCCAACTAAGTCCCAAGCCCATGTAAATTTAATTGTCGAATCGATTCATAGGATTATTTGTCGAAGAAACTCAACTATTTTCGAAATCAGAATGGTATCCAGGGTATAGAATCGCCGTCTTATGCGAAAGGGGTCAACAAAACCAGTTTCAGTTAAATCTCGAATTTATTTATAAAATAAAAACACATATTTTTGTTCAATACAATCCAACGAAATAATGTACACGTATAAAAAGCTGTCGCTTGCATTACCAAAATACAAAAATAAAGGGCGATAGGTAAGTAATAGTAAGTAATAGATAGAGCCTGGTCTGCGACATAATCGCTCAAGGGTGTGCTATATAGTAGAAAATATACATACATACATATGTCGATTATCTCTGTACTCGTCCGTGTGCAACCAAAGTCCTCCACACGTAGGGAGGATAATGCACGAGCATTGGGCTGACTGAGAGTCGAATGCGTAGGTATACAAAGTTGGACACAAATTATAATTAATCTGTAGAGTACAGAAGAAGGAGAGGAGAGGTTCAGCGTGACGTGGCGTGCTTAGGGTGGTGCGATCGCTAGGGATTGGATTTCCATGAAAATATGTTTTCCATTTTGTTGTATGTGTTGGATATTGATTACGAATTCGATTTGGCTTAGATTAGGCTTGGACTCCCTATGCTTATGATTAATTTAATCGTACGGTAATTTAAATGGTAGCGTAATTAATTTATGCTTATGTTTGTTTCTTGTTTGGCTGGCTGGCTGGTTGGCGTTGGCTGGCTGGCGGCGCTCTACTTGTTGCCGGCGTTGACGAGCGCCCGCTGTCGCGTCGTCGTATTCAGCGCCGGATTGCACATCTCCGTGGTGAATTTGGAGAAGGTGTTGTGGAAGCCGTTCGCAGAACCGTTGAGTTGGCCGTTCCGAGTGGGCGGCACGTCGCCGTCCTTCAGGGTCTTGATGGCGCCGTTCGCATGTCCGTTGGCTTTCAAGGCTGCCTTTTCCTGCAGATAAACGCAGAAGAGAAGCGGAGCTGAGCTTTAGAGGCATGACTGGAATCAGCTGTACATACCTTGGCATTGCGCTTCACATAGGCCCGCTTGTAGAAATTGGAGAATAGGAAGTAGAACATCACAGCATGGGCGCCAATGAA